AAATGTTCTTACCAGAATGTCCTGAAGCAATGGCTCAGGGTGCTTCTAATAGTGTAACCTTTACCGAATACAATGTTTATGCGAGGAGCGGCCTCCGCTGCTGTAGCTCCAATGTGGAACTCGTATTCGTTAATGATTTAAAGTTTCTAATTTGCGTTGGCTTACTGCCTTAACTTGCCTTCTAAAAGCCCAGTTTATATTATCCAAGTGAAGGGTCATAAATTTTAAAGGGTACAAGTGCATGTTGAATACAAAAAAGTGTCATGAAATGTGGCACCGCTTAAAATATGAGTTTCAGTAAAGCGAATACACTGCATTTTGCTTATAATTCAGAGAATTCCTCTCATATCGTTAATCTTGAATGATTTTTGTAGCTGTTTTGTCTATTCATATATATATATATATATGTATGTATGTAGTGTCGGGATACCTCGCTTCATGACACTTCACTTTGTAGCACACAGCGTTTTGTGATAATGAAATACCAGGCCCGTTGAGAAAGTTCAAAATAGTTGAAAATGTTCCCTAATACGAGAATAACGCTGCTCTGTTAATCGAAAGGGAAAGCTGTCTAAACTGTAGGTCCGGTTGAAGGACTCTAACCGACGAGACACGGAGGGACGCGGCGACGCACGTGACGGTGGCCTTTCGTTGACTAGTATTTTAGGCGTTCAACATCTTGTTGAACCGATTCTCGTACTGTTTCGATAAGTCGAACGTCGAAGAACGTCAGCAAAGTCAACGGCACCAGTGAAAACGACATGGCAGTGAGCCAGTAATGGACGCTCTAGTATGCTCTATTTCTCGTTAGTATAAACTCTTCAATGATTACGATTTCGTCTACATACGCCAAGGCAGTCAGTTCGTACTCGAAGGCCGTCAAAAGATTTATCAGAAAACACATCACTGCATCTCTAGTAATAAACTTAAGTAAATAATAGGCACACAGAAACATAAAAAAATTACGTTATGATTCTATCATGGGACCTCAGAGAGAAATTTAGCTTAACATAATTATTATATATCTCAGATAAAGCCAGCTTGTTCTGACCTTAGGAATCGTTGCTTGTTAAGCTGCCCTAATAAATTAATTGTCTTCAGGCAAGTCAGATGGTCATACTTTTCAAGGGTGACATACAACTAGCTGTGTATCTTTTTGTTGTATCAAGGGTAGCATTCGTCAATAGAAACTGTACGCCCAGACCTATATGTACGTTAAAACCCTGTTACAAAAAACATCTTCAGATTAATCAACCAATCAAAGAGGGACCAATGCGTAATGACTGAAAATGCAGAAGGATGCAGAAGACCAGGTGCAGATTGATAAGCCAAACGCTCATGATAGGAGAAAACGTACTCTGATTAAAACTGTGTGAAATTATTGAATATTTCTAATTATAAGTCGTAATCGGTTGTCGTTAATCGTTACGTGGAAGTCCGAAAGAGTCCCCAATAAGTGGTCAATTAATGATACAAAAAAAGACAAAGATACAAACATCATGCTTCGATCATATACCACACATTCCGCTGAGTATGTACTCAGTGAAAGAGGGCAAGTGGATAAATAGCATTCTGCAATAAAACGCGTATAAGGAAAGTAGGGTCCACTAAAAATGAGGGAGTTGTTGAAGCAAAGGTCATCCAAAGAATCCGATCACGGCCAGGCAATCGTTGGAAGAACTTCGCGTGGATGGAAAGGTGACGGCCTCGAATGTGATCACGCTTAGTATTGGACTTAATTCCTATAATTTATAAGCGTTCGTTTCGAAAGAAGGGCACTTGTGAGCCTTATCAGGCAAATGGTTATGAACGATCTACGCCAAAAGCTATTTACTATTACAACTAGTAATTTGATCTACTGATCAGATAGTGTTAAATAACGCTAATAACAAATAATGAAGTTTTTATTTCTTGATAACGGCAACAACTACGATAACTGGTTCTGAAAAATCGTCTATTTATATAAAAAGAATGCCACATGATCTGCTAAAAAAAAAAAAAAAAAAAAAAAAAAAAAACTGAAAATAATTAGTAAAACTGATTTTCTATAAATGCCATGTGTAAATTGCACGCGCACATTATGTGGATTATAATGAGGTACCAGAAAGAACAATATTTATCTACGCTGTAAACGACTGCTCCATTGAATAGTGCTCTTACAGAATCGCACAGGTCGTAAATTATCACCAGTGGCGCTGTAAGGCTCACAGTTTCATCACGTACATTGAAATTGGCAATGAATGAAACGATCAATTTTTCGTTAAAACATTTGACACGACTGGCCTGTACCTGAAATGTGATCAAAATAAAGGAAGAGGTTTCTTTCTGAAGTTTAATAGTGTTGTAGTTATAGGCACACATGCATAATTCAAGGAATAGAATAAATATTATTATTATTATGATTCTGAGCTAGTAGGTTTTTCGCTTAATATTTTCAGTCGTTACCAAAAATTGCTTCTGGATGTCAGTTAAGCTATTTAAGTCACTATTAAGTTATTACTTAAGGAATTGTAATTCAAAATTCAAATTGTATACTTACCTGCAAATTTAACTTAAAACACGATTCCAACATGTAGACCTGCTTTGTATAAAACGTACGTCACTAATCTACATTGCGAGCATCAATTACTTGTGCTTACTGATGACCTTAGTGCGCAGATGCAGGCGGATTGGCGACTCCAATTGCTAGGAGAGTGGCTTGTTGTTGACGCTACATGGGTTAGGTGAGGGAGATTATTCCGTGAAGACCTTATGACAGGGTTGTAGGCTCGTTTTAATAGCGCTGCTTCCTATCAACGTATTCAGCGAATCGTTTTGGGTTAATTAACAAAGGGTAGTCAGCTGATACGCGACTGCTTTCCGGGACCACCAGCAGAAAAGGTTTCATAAATACCTATATAAGATAGATCAGCTGAAGGTAAACTTTAGATAGTTTCTGAAACGGGCATATAAAAATATTGAGGTTTAAAAAAAAGTTATTTTATTAATGCAAAACGATCTCTTCAATAGTTGACACAGTTAAGATAATAATAATAATAATATAAACATTCGAACTTTTTGTAATTATTTTTGGGTGAATATCAACGAAGCGCAATAAACGTATTAGCTTTTAATGCAATTCGGGCCAGTATTATGACTTTATCGTCGGGGATAATGGTCACTTTAAGAGCATTTCGACTAGCTAGCCTTTTTGTTTGTATGTATGTGCGTTTCTTCTAATATGTTGCGCGCCATTAGCCTGTAGATCCTATAGAACTACCTGACGAAAGAGGATACTCTACTGTTTACAGTGTTTTAATTGCTAACTAGTGGTTCTTTGACCGCTAGGATAGCCATACATGATTTGTGGCGGTCTAATTTAAAACGACACTTGAACTGGTCCTCGGTAGAACCTTCGTGTGCAAAGCGCTCGCCTATCTACCCGAGGTGTGTATATAAATACTGCTAAGAAAAGACCTTCGCTTCTTTGCAGTTATGCCACGATTAGCTATTTTACAACGACGAGATAAAATTCACAAATAGATCTTCACATTAAAGTTTAACTTTTCTTCTACAAAAATTTAGGACGCATGTGTATTTTCTAGCTGGGCGTCCTTGGTAAGAGCAACCAACTACATCTTCATGAGATATAATAATGTTACTTTCTTTACAGGCTATAAATCACGCATAAACCAGACAGCGCTATTTTTCTTACAATTTTTTAGTTGTTCTATGCATGATTGCGTGAACGTTTGTCTCGCAATATTATGAATTGTCACATCTCGATTCTGGGCTGGATGTATTTGGCTGGAATTGCATTTTGTCACTGGAAATAAAATTAAATCAATTAAAAGCCTTATATTGCAGCTTTAAAAATACAAGTATGTAAATTGTTGCGTGTAGCATACTTTATTATTATATAAAGTTTCGAGCCAAAATGAAAAATTAGACAAATCTGCAAGTTAGGTTCTGTTCATTCCATTAATAAGACTAACTAAGACTAGCGGTAAGTATCAAGCTCATGGTCAAAAAGAAGTGGAAAACGTCACTTGTTCAGGCATAATTTATTGCCGACTTTTAATATATTCTATGACCCATGAGAAAAAAAGATTTTGTCGACGTTAAGCACCAAAATAACGGCATTATCAATCAATCAATAGCAGTAGCACACATATAAACGACTGGATGCTTGTATTTCGCCATTAGAGATGCCTTATGAGTCGGACCAAGTAAATAAATATTAAAAATCGCCAGCTACATTATATTTATCCGCCATGCAATTCCTCGGAATTATTCATCTGTGAAGGCAAAACTATTTTGTGTGCACGACATTTTGTAACTATTTTGTGTGCACGACATTTTGTAAGTATGTCTTGTAAGTAATTTATGAGTAAACGCTGAATGTTATTACGATGCTTGAGTAAGCTGGGCCATCTTGACAAGAGTTTACAAGTGTGACACTCATATTCCAGCAAAATGGTCTCCTTTCACGTTATGTCAAAATGTTAGACGTAGCATTATATAGCTTATTTTTTTTACCTTGAAACGATGTCATTTGAGAGTGTTACTCGTCCTAAAACCTAGGCTCAACAATTTCAGTTTTCAGTGCCTTCAGTATAATACAGAAAAACCATATCTAAAACATGAATCAGATACATTCGTCCCTGCATCTGAACAATAAGTACCCGAAGGCTTGACTTTGGGGCGTTTAGAAGAAGACTTACTCAAGAATAGCGCATTGAGGTCCAACTGTTCAGATGAAGGGCATAGCCCCATGAAAACAAATACATCCTCGTGGAAAAATCAAAACTCATCATCTTAGCTTTCACTATTCACTTTTTTAAGTGACTGTGGCTAAAATCGACGTCAACGACGTATCGATTCTCATGTTTTCTCAAAAATAACGAGGTTTACAGAGATTTTAAAGATTCTGAAAGAGCATTTGAGCAAAATTTGCGAAATTATAAGTCTAATACAAACGGTTTGCTATTCTTTTAATCAATAGGTAACTTTTCATTTACATATTTAAGTTTTCGATATTCTACTCGTTGCACGGATTATGCGGCAGCGTTTTACGATTTTGTGTAAAAAATATTCCACAAAAAGCTATCAAATGTTGTATAATGTTTTCATTAGAATTATTGTCAATCTTCACGGACTTGTTTTAACTAGTTTCAGTTTTAATTCGCTTAAGATAGCATGTGTAAAAAAATTTTCGTCGACGCTAGAAACTATGGTGCCCTAAAGGATATTGGAGGCACACACCTCTTACCGCCAACCGTTACCACTGGTAAACAATTTGCGACGAAACTACCGTTCCCCAGTGAGGGCTTGTTTTTTTTTATTTGTTAATTCTATAGAAATATACTTTGCATTTGATTGAACGATTGTCAGTTTCTGGTAGCTCTTTGCATGTCTCCATATACTATTTATCGACGGTAGCGTAAGATAACTTAAATTATCGGGATCAATTATATACCGCCACGTAACAAAAATCTATTTGGCTGCTTGTTTTTGCTCAGAGTTCACAAAAATTTGACAAACGAGCATTTGTCACTGGCGTTTCTATAGCATGTGATATCGAGAACATGTCGTGTCTTTTATCTTGTGTGTTTTATAGAATACGTTGGCAAGTGAAAAGCTAATAATTTGACAAACATCGCACTTCACGTATCAGGAGTTTGGCCAAGCTAAATAACATGTCATTGTCCTTTTTCCAGTGCAGAATGGCTGCTTCGAAGGTGGCGAAGCATCAGCATCAGTCGAACTCTGTTCCTATAGCACAAGTTTGGCGCGATGAACATCCGGATCGTTACGTTCTCACTGTAAAGGTTGGTGGCGCTGTTAAGACACAACGGGAGTATCATGTTTTGAATGCTATTTAAGTTTCATAAACATGAATAACTTGCAGCTTTGTGGCTTCTGATTCTTGTTTTCGTTCGTCAATAATGTTGTACTAATTATGCAGCGTAATGCCTCACTCGCAATGTTGTTTGCAAGTGTGTTTAAAAGTTGATAATACTCGTCTCAATTTTGAATGTTGCGTAGTTTTCAAGAGTTTGGCGCAAAAATTAATCCGCAGACTCAATGATGGTTTTTCTTGATTTCCAGGAAAAGCGAACGTATAGAACAAGATATCCCTTAACTGGGCAAATGCTTCTTCCGCCGAAAAAAATTAATGACGAACGCGCCACTTTAGTCCTCGACCTCGACGAAACGCTCATTCATTCCAAATATGATCCACAGGATCCGCTATCGTTGACGGTAAAGTCGGGTCTCGATGACATCCGAAGTAAGGCTTAATATAGGTATCATATGTTTCGGGAATTGATCTTTCATTTGATTACAGCTATATTTGAGCAACGTAAGAAATATACAAGCACGACAACCTGTTGAGAAAGACAACAACCTGCCGGAATAACGATAAAATTAGTTAGCTCATGTTTATTAGCAGCCATTGATAACGATATATCTAAATTATATATGGATAGGTTACAGTAATACCACGTCCTCACGTGAAGCCGTTCTTGACCACGATCAGCAACTGGTACGAGGTAGTTGTGTTCACGGCTTCGCTTCCCTTCTACGCAGATGAAATCCTCGATGACCTTGATCCGAACGGCGAAATCTTCCATCACAGGTTGTATCGACAACATTGCTCCTATTTCCAGGGCGTTTTTGTTAAAGGTTCGTATTTAGCTGAAATGACTGCCTATACTGAACTATTGTCAAGCATAACAAAGTTTCTAAGCTGAACTTGAACACTGCCTATTACATACATGATCGATATCTAAAAAGTGAAATTGTACGGTTCGGATCGGCTTTCTATAGACCTAGTAAAGGTTTTGTTCCAGACATCAGCTAGGTTGCACCGTACTGTACGGCGTATGGTGCAGAGCTTCTGTACTCCTACGTACAGAAAATATACCTATTAACTATGCGAATAAAATTGTTGCGAAAAAATCGACCTTTCTTTGTCCTATAGATCTCGAACGACTAGGGCGGCCAATGAATCAAGTGATTCTCGTTGATAATTTCCCCGGTGCTTACATGATGCAGCCGAGGAATGCTTTACCGATACGATCCTTCTTAGGTGATCCCAATGACAGAGAGCTGCTTCAAGTGCGCAGGGTTTTAAAGTTGGTAAAAGACAAAACGAATGTTCGACCTTTTCTCAAGCGATATCAAAGGCACTGGACGGCCCGAACTTATTTAAAGAAAGACACTGATGACGATGAGTCCGCTAATTTGGCCTAGTGCGATGACGTTCAGTGAAAACGAGCGAGCGAGAGAGAGAGAGATAAAGAGAAAGGGATTAAAAAAAATTACCACTATCGACAAAATTTTACAACGAAAACTGCGACCAAATATCCGTATACTTGCGCAATTTCTATAGTATTTTTTTTATGATATCTATTTAGTTTTCAAATTTCAGTCCGATTTACGTTACATTATATGGTGAGCATATCAGATGCAATTAACGAATGTTTGTCAGAACATGTATTACAATTGTACTTTATAGCTAAGTATTCGGTGGGAGCCTATGTACTATTACGGTAGAGCCACGAAGTCAATTATGATGGTGTGACTGACGATGTAAAGTTAAATGTCGAGCAAATTTGTGATAGGTGAACGCATCATGCACTCCCACAAAGCTCCCAGACAGTCAGTGGTGTCGTCACACTCTCATCCAGATATAATACACAAACACTATTAGCCGATATGCAGGTAACATATTCCAACAACGGGAGATAACGTCGTGCCATCAAATCAGCTTCAGATCTTAAAAACTCGTTTCCTTTTTTTCTACTGAATTGACGATGGTCGATTATGGTAAATAGCTCATAGAAAATTAAGCGCTTCTATCCAGGCGAATATTATGTTGGACTAAATCTTGATGAGGGCAAGTTAAATCGCATTTTTTCGTCTTTTTATTGATTTCGTATTTTTACGTTGCAAAAAAAGTATTTGGCAACATTCACTGAATCTGCATGGATGAAATTATCATATCACATAGTTGTTCCTAAGGTTTGTTAGCCACGCTGAGGCCCACGTTTTAACCACGCGTAGGAGACTTTATAAGATTCAATATAAAAAAAAGTCATCATAGTCCAGAAGAAAAAAATGCAGTAAAATTTAATTTTACTATTCGACTTGTCTCTTTTGATAGTTGGCTTTTAGTAGTTGGCTCGCTCTCATTAACAGAGCGTACTCTTGATGCTTTGAGGCCCTAAAGCTTGACAACTCCGGACGGCCCATAAGTCGCCGTAAAACTAGTGCAGGTATCTAAGTAGTTCTTTACATGGACAAAACAGTTTGAAATAGTTCAATCAGCATTACGGGCTGATCCCAGGACGCGATTTCTTTTGCTGAAATTCAGGCCTAATTTCGATTAAAGTACCAGTGAAGTGAACTGCTGTTGCTCAGACTCGTATTAACTCCATTAGGTTTACTGTGATAGCAAACTCACCAAGAACCCCTGAGTATAGGTTCTGTAAGCGCAATTATCAGTGAGCCTTTGTTTTTCATTTATTAAATGAAAATGGGGACATTCTAGGTATGTACATTGTATGGTAATTCTACACTGGAGATTAAAATCCGCGTTATTGTCGAGTGCATAGGATGAAATGGTGACATGCTGAGTTTCATAATTTCACTCTCCTGTATAACAGTTGTATGCTTATTTCTCTTATGAAACGGACATTACTTTTAGTTTTGACCGACATACGCGCTTTAAAACAATTGCATAATGTTCAGAGATTCTAGGTGTTTGATCAGGGGATTTTTTTCCATAAGAAAGCTCAGTTATTAATTATCTTATAACGATTCGCTCTTAGCAGGCTCCATTTTCAAGACAATATACAGCTGACGATTACTTCTTATTGTTATCTTGCCCAGACGAATCTGATATGAAATCATTGAGGTCGTGCAGTAGCGGGCATAGCGGTGCAAGAAACTATTTGTTTTTTGCAAGTTATAGCTTATGGATTATAAAAGCCCATAAAGAAACAGATTTTATTAGTAGTTCAATAAATATCGCACAATCTAGAATACAGAAACACCAGGTGGAAGGGTATCTTTTCGTTGCGTGCAATATGTCCAGCCCTCTCGAAACTACAAATAGTACCTGAGCATCTCTACAACCCGGAGCTAAGACCGGGCACATATCGTAAAATCGGCTCATATGGCTTTCTCCTAGTCACTGGAACAAAAATTTGCCAGTATCTCTTTTGAAGACGGTCGCTTGTGTTGATGATTAAAATATGACGTGCGACACCCTGAATTATCGGTGATTATCTAGGTGACAAGCAACCGTTACTTTTTAATTAATAAAACGGATATCATAGTAGTAGATCTTATAGAAAACTTAATCAGATTCAAAGTCGTTCACAAAATTTGTAGAATTAATCTTTTCGAGTTTTTTTTTACTTGTGCTTATTAGTGGCGTTAGCGTCTCGTCGCGCCTTTAGACGGTTTGAATAACCGCTCTGTTTTGACAGACTGCAGATTAAATGTCAAGTTTGCAGAAATCCCGCAAATTCTAAAAGCAGATTGCGCTTCTGCCAGTGTCCCCACGTGTCATTGGCTTGAAATAGACGAGATCAATGCTCTTTAGGCTAGAAAATGCTATACCCTTGATAGTACAGTTGTTCTGAATCTAAAGGCTTGTGAAGTGGTCTATATTTGCAAACGCTGGCTGGAGTGAGCTGTTTAAGGCGATGTTTAGTGGCAGTACTGGGTGTACAGATCAGAATTTTTATTAGGTTAGAGAAAATCAAAAGTCGGTATGGGCAAACAGAAATTTCTGTAGGATATTCTGTAGGATGTCCATTTGTCGAACCCAAGGAAACTATTATTATTATACCCGAAACTAACATCAACGAAATTAAAAGATCAAACGTGAACGAAGGGTTGAAATACGGCACGCTCTCATGTGAAAGAGTTACAGGCTAGTCTGAAGACAAGCAAACTTGGTTATTATTGTCTATATCTGTAATCAGTAGTAACACAAGGCAATGGATGACATTTATAAACGGTTTAGGTTTCCTTGTGTGTTGCGTTCCGAACTTGTAATACCAAGTTATTTTTTTTTCTATCAGTAGTGAAATAAGGCCGAGCTTGATTCGACCTACTCTTTATTGTAATTGTAACTAGTTTAATACTATAGGCATGATGATGTGGGGTATATATATATAGTAGTATTTTAATAAAGAAGGATGCGGCCTGAGCAGAAGTAGCCATCGTTACGCTGAGACCTTTACAGTGTTTTTTACTCCGAAAATAACTCATTGTAAATACATCTACTTTACGTCGAATACAACATACATCCTTGTAAAAGGTAAAACAAGTATTGTCCAGTCTTTACAATTATGTTCAATAAAGCGGTATAAGACTAAAAAAAAAACAAGTATTCGAAATGTTTAATTTGAATGGAATTGAATAGAACCTTTCAACCCCAAGATGTCCTGCTTAAAAAGACGTTGTCTAGGCTTACCCATTTTACATGCGTCATTCGGTAAATTATGTTCATTAATGGCGTTAGACGTCACGTGCTTTCCTTCTTACATTATGAGCTCCCTTTTCCAGGACTGCGAGAGGCGCATCCATAAATATGGCACAGAATCTATTGGAAAGTGGTGTGGGCATATTAAACGGTCAGCCTCATTGCCGTCTTCCTTTGTAAACAGCGATGATATCCGCTCGTATAGTTGTGCTCGTCTGGGTTATGGCAAACAACTGGTCGTCAATGCATAATGTATACCAAAATCGGCCTCTTCCATGCCTGCACAACTCCAAAGGTGATTCTGCTGGCGACCCGTTGTTTTTGATATCGCCCATTCAGGGTGGGAAAATTGATTTGGGTAAATCACCGGCCCGCGTCGGACCCCTGTAGAGGCACAATGTGCCAGGCTATTCCGGCTATCTGACTGTCAACAAAACAGTAGACCCCAACCTGTTCTGTTTACCAGTTACCAGTTAACCTGTTACTGATAACTATTCGTCATTGGCGTATTCGCAGAGCCACTATTGTGTGTTGTGCTCCATTGAATTTCGAATCGTAATTGGTCTGGAGGAACACAGACTTGGCAAATCATCCGTATTCCTTTACGATACCTATTTACATGGTGATGCTTTTATATATATATATATATATATATATATATATATATAGTTACTTCTTTGATCTTGATAGATGAAGCATTGAGATAAGTTGAAGGAGATGATTAGATCCGGACCCTCCGTATAGCAGATATAGTCTTCTTATTAAACATATTCATATACATCCTAATGCCTCAAGGAGCAACGATGAATACAGATTGTTAGTCAATCACATTCAGACTTTGAAAGTCTTTCAAATATTTTGTTTATTAGTTGGTTAGGCCCATAATGTTTTTTCAAATTAACATGAAACTACAAAATACTTTATTATAGTTTTTTATGCGGCAGTAGTTCGCTCTGTATAGTTCAAACGTGCATTTAATATCAGCGTGTCATCCCTATAATTAGACTGAATGTTGGTCGTGCTACCGTTTTTTTTGGTAACTTTGTTAGTAATATTAATACAAAGTAGCTAAGACGAGTTACTCGTCATTGATTTACTGCACTTGTTTTAATGATACAGATAGTAATTGAAGTACACAGCTGAACAAGCTTCACAAGTGTATAGCCGAAAATTTACTTGGTATCCGTAGATTCAATATCTGTGTTATCATTTATAAATTGCTCGATTGTGTTCACTGGCGAATTTTCTGCATTTCACAAACAAGTTGTTACAGTGTTTTTACAACAAACATACAGGTTTATAATACAATGAATGTTATGTATAATGGCACAAGTCTTTCTGAAAAATATTTTTATTAAGCATGTAGCAATGTCAGAGTCGTGCGTTGTTCAGCTGAAACAAAAACTAGATAGGACTACTATCGGATGATGTTTTTAACAACTGATTCATGGCCTAATTAAAAAAGCATCATGAAGGAAAGTATCATAATTTTTTTAGATCAAAAAACAACCTAAGAAATTCTGACAAAAAGTTGGTGAATATGAGAAGTGAAAACAGGTTACGAAACAGTAGCTCTTCAGTCATCTTTAAACCATTTTTCTATTTTGAGTACTCCTGCAGCATGTGACACATAAAAAGAACCGCGCGTTAATTTCGAATTACTGCAGCATGTGACACGTAAAAAGAACCGCGCGTTAATTTCGAATTACTGCAGCTGAGATCCGACCAGGATTATTTCACTGAATAATGCCATTGGTTTATTCATATTTTTCGTCGACTTCAAGTATCTCTCACACGTTCATATTTGGTTGGAATATCATATAGAATCACGTGTTGCTGGGTGTCTGAACGAAAATTTTCGCTGTGTTTATCAATACCTTGCCCCTTATCCGATTCAAGAGAGTAAACGTAATTAAATGAATGTTTATCTGGAGGAACTCTGTGACATTCAGGCGCAAGGTACTGCCGAGACTCATAATCGAAGCCTCATGCTTAAGCTCAGATATTAATCACGTGCAACATCATTTGCTTTTGATACTCTGTAGATTAGTGTAAGACTCTATGCCGATATCTCAGAATAAAACCGCTTGTTTATGACGACAATAAGGAGATTATGTAACAATAATAGGAAAGCCATATAACTGAAGTATATACGTACATTCGCCTTGTCTAGCCATGAAAGCATCGATCAAATTAGCAAGCGACTGCGCTTCGTTGCCTAGTGCTTCGTACAACTATTTCAACATATATTTCACATGTCACCATCAGTCTACTCCTAGACATTTTTAGCTCTATGAACGGATCAGTGTCGAATTCGTGAGCAAAACGTATTGGGACCGTCGCTTTGAAAGTTGTATTCTCCAGGTACTTGATGGTCGCTGCTGCGTCCATTATAAAAATAGGATTTCCGTGCACTGTCTTTTCTCTCTGGCTGTTAACGAGTTCGTTGTGGACCTCCAGAAATAGGAAGATATTATACACGCGCTTCAATTTTTATTAATGGCATAAACACAAATATTTTTAAAATGAACGTAAGCATTAGCAAGAATCTTCTGAAAAATATAAAGATACAAAAAGTTTTATATTTTTAATAGATATATTCCAATAAAGCTCTCTATATGGATAGAGATGTTTCGAGTTCTTTTTGTAAGTAGGCTATAAATACATACATATAAAAAAAAAAGAGGATTTATTCGGACAGACATGCCGAACATGTATCAGTAAACAGCAATGTATAGAATATAATTATGTAGAGCTAGGGGCCTGTAGTGGAAGTACGCAGGTTTGGCTAAGGAAGGTATCTGTTACTGGTTAGCCGGTAACTTAATCATCGTTGCAAGCGAGGAACTTGATAACATGAAGGCGCTGAGTGACGGAATAAACACTGTCATACTAATTACGTATACATCTTATTTGACAATTAAGGCGACAGGTATAATCGGTAGAAAAGATAGTAATTTTCCTTATTATTACAATGATACCTACTGTAAAATGATGTCGTAAAAACTCTATCAAATAAAGAAACTTTCTATATATATACAAAATATATGCAAAAAATAAAATTGGCTTAGATATAGCATAAATTAAAAATTTTGCCACAGGAACGTTGGTGTAGCTAACGTGTAGCTTGAATATTCAGTTGTTGCATAATGAAACTGCCTGAGCGCTAGCGTTTCAGACCCATGTTTAGCGCTTAATTGAATACGGTAATGCGTGACAGCTTTCCGTATCGTTGAAGATTGACGAGGTGTGAATATCGTTTGTGGTTTTTATCCAAAATATATAGAACTTAATGATGAACCTCGCTTAAGGCCGGAAATCGTCTTGTGGAGGTACGAGCGTACCTATATTTTAATTTGACACAACAATTTTGAATTTTTACCTTATTCCATATATATATATATATATATATACTCAACGATGATCAGCATAGCCCTAGATTCGTATAATGAAATTTGTCATTCGGAAGCGTCGCCAGGATGAGAACGTGAACACTTTCACCCCTTTGTGGCTCCAAGATAGGCTTGGGAAATCGTCACTCGCCGGTTTATTCGTAGAACACAGCCCGGCAATTTGTCCGTAAACATTTTAACATGCTTTATATTGACAATCCCGTTGAAGCTGGATTTTCCTTCACCCAGAGCGAGGATGGCTACGGAACTAACCAGTTCGATGTCGATTGCGACCTGTTTGAGGCTCTCCAACAGCCCTTCACATTATTCAACGAATATGCCCAGGACGATTTCTATAATACCGGAGAGTTATGGGTTAGTCATTACGAAAATAACTTGATACCTCGGATTTTGCTTACTATATCCTTAGGTCATACTGTAACATAGGCCGTACTTTGAGGCTCAAGTCAAAAATGCTTTGTATTTGACATATCGGGTCCGCCATTAACGCTCAAACTCAATGTACCTCTTCTCTGTCAGCTAAGTCTACACAGTTCATAAGGACAAGGGTAAAGCAATGATGAGGTTGACCATCGCCGACAGTTTCTGCGACGCGCTAACGATGCCGAATCATGCCGACTTTCTCTCGACAACAAGCAGGCGACCCATTTCCAAACTGAACATTATAAGGTTAAGAACTTTATTGAGCAAGAAGACTGCGTTCAAGATCTTCGATCAGCTTCTTTTAAAAGGCAAACAAGCAAATGGAACTAAGAGTTATTTTAATGATGTCACCGGGTTCAACTCCTCCTATAACTGCCTGTTGTTATCCAATGAACCAGCCAACTTTGAATACTATAACCAGTTTGTGCAGACGACCCAGATCCGAAAAGCCGTCCACGTAAGTGACCGGACCTACAACGACGGACCTGTTGTCGAGAGTAAATCTACGGGCGACATTATGCGTTCGTCCAAGCCCTGAAGTGCCGAAATGATGGAAAATTACAAGATAATTACCTAAGCTAAAGTGTAAATGTCATTGTTTGGAAGCCTACATGTCATGCTATGAAGTACTAATGGATAAATCGCAAACGACCTATAAAGAACATGTAATATTCAGCTTCTCCAAGCAGGCATAGGGCTCCCATAAGATAATTTTAATGGAAGCATTGCGTATCTGTACATGAATTATACGAAGATCTTTGAAGCTATCCCATACATGACAGACAGAGGGATCGCTATCGGCAGGAGGGCGACGCCAGTGCCGATACGATGAAACCATCTTTAAAGGGTAAACGTGTTAGCCAGCTATAGCTGTTACTATTAGTTCCATTAACAAATCCAGAAATATCTTTAAAAAATAGATTTGCATAAACTGGTTGTTTATGGACAACGTAACAGTAAACCTAGTTCAAATTTGGTTACATTTTAGCGCAAATATTGCCATATGCTATCGTGGCTAAATGAGTCGTTCGGATCCGTAATACACTGGATTAATGGTACTTAATCTGTGCATTATTTCTCGGTTATGACTGCCTTGTCTGTGAACTCAATTCCTAACGGAGCTGGACTAACGAACTCGCAAAAGCCAAGCATATCATTTGAAGAAATAAAACTACTGGCCAGCCCGTAGGTTATGTACGTCGGGCAAAACAGTTTACGGAGGTTCTGGTTAAGAACGCCGGCCATATTCTCCCCCACGACGAACCCGGCAGTGCTTGCGATATGATCGACCACTTCGTCAACAACCGTTCAATTGAGGTTCAATACAAGCATACGCGTAGAGGACGAGCGACGGAACGAAAGAATCGAAACATCGATTGTGATTTTGTACCAAGCTCTTGCTAATGTAGAATCAATCCGTTTCCAGCTGATGGTTATATGTGTTGCAATTTACACAATATACAATGAGCAATAATGTTAGACACGTCGCATACTTTTACCCACATTCGGAAAATCCTATAATCACGTAGCAACAACTATGAGAGACCAAAAAATCTCATGTCGAAGGCTAACGAGCCGCTTCAAATGTCACAGACGACAATGAATGCCGATTCATCTTCATCAGTCCGTTGATTATGGGAATGACTCGTAGACGAAGTTCAGTTTAATGTAGGCGTATTGTTTCAAATGGATATATTAAACTGAGAGCTCTGATACTTTGCCGACTTTATCGCTTAATGCGGTTACGTTTGACCGGCGTAAATGTCATCGACCGACCTGTTCGTAAGCGATAAAAGTCAGAGACGGTCTAGAAACAGTAGCAGGAACGGGCTCGTTCACTGGAAGTCGCTATACTGGAAGTCGACTTCGAGTAGTACAAAAAAATTATTATTAAACACCCTCAATGAAACGTAGGTGTGTCAGAATCTAGCCTAACGAAGAATCAGATCACTGCTCACATCAATATTGTGTAATATTCTTTTTTCTGCTCAAAACCTCTGACCGCAATAATAAAGCCCCATGACCACGACAGTTTGTTTGGCGTAATTTATTAATCGAATATATATGTATGTATAGCAGTAGAAAAGCAAAAATGTTTCTACCTTATTGTGGCTTCCGGAGTATCGTCACTGTTTGAGTTGTTCCTAGAGCGTAGCTCTGACCACTGTCAAAGAATTCGCCTGTACTAGATACATGATTCGGTCTCGACAGTTCAACATATCAACAATGAACCTGGGTCTGTTTCGCCAAAAGCGATGACGGTTACGTAATCAACGAATCGAAGGTAGGTCACGATTTGTTTGAGGGTCTTTAACGATTCCTTACATTGTTCAGCGAACACGCGCAGAACGATTTCTACATCGTCGGAGAATCATACGCTAGCGGGTTTCTCATAGTAAAATGAACTATTATCACACGGATTATTAATAGATCTTTAACATGCACTATTCAATACGTGTACCTACAATAACAGCCTTGATGAATATCCATTCGTGTAGTGAAGATAAATGAACTACGAAAAGAACTTTAAAACGAAGTATTTGATATTCTTGCCGACTATGAAGGCACAGTTTTGCCAGCCAATGGCGACTCGTGGGTTTTCAGGTATTGAGAAGATCTTCTTAGAGCAAAGTTATCGGGCAAGAGCATCTACTTTAATCTGAAGACAGCTCTCCTTTATCTTCCAAATGTCGATGTGGTCTTCAATATTAGTTTTTTTTCCCCGATAAACACTTGACATATATACAGTTTTGCATAACAATTTTGCATATTCTATATGCAATACAATGCTATACATATGACGGATTCACGATTCTGATTAAAGCTAATGTCATAAGACGATTCGTGTTACAATCGCCCTAGGCTTCAAGAGCTTATTTTGAATTCATCAATGACTGCGTTAAACATTGTATACCATGTTACTGGCAGTCTGCGGTTAGGTTGTCCAGCAATTGAACTTGCGGGCAGCGAGAAGTACGACATAAATCATACGTTTGATCGAATTCGAGATTGATTTCCGTGATCTTTTTTATCCCATTGCATGAAGGGCCTGCTGCACATGGAGATGGCTGCTCCGGCAAATAACTATATCGTGTGCTTAAAGAGGAATCTTCACCCTATTTCTAGGCCACCTTATGCTTAGGTAAAACTGAGAAAAAAAGACGGCTTAAGTTTTCACCCTGGGCAATAGCTGTAGCCTGGCAGGACGTTGACACCATCATCGAACGTAACGCTGTTGTTCTAAAGTATCGCTTCTATTAAATTAACCAGGTTCATGGGGACCCTAACTTTATCGTCAGTGAAGATGCTTACGATTAAACTCCGAGCCGAGAGTGCTTTTGAAGTCTGCGTAGATATAGTATCAAGAGCTACTCAAAAATTCGCTTAACATCGCCAAGTAGAATCTTGCATATCATTCCGATAGGGTGGTCGCTCATGAATCCGCATTTTTCCTTAAGTACTATGCTCATACGTTCTAGAGGCATGTTCAGTCTTCTTGCCAGTAAATGCGGAAGAACCTTATAGCAAACACCTTTCTTTCGGTGTCACGTTGTCAGTTGGCGTAAGCCGCTTTTGCCTTTTGGGCTAACGACAAGCATTACATCCCACAAATGAAGAGGAAGACTGATTCGTTTTGCGATCCGATACACGATCTTCTTAGCTACATTACCTTTATAGGTATACCGGGTACCGTCAATGTATATAGGCTGTCTTAGGAAAGTAAGTTCTCGCGGCGGCCTACACAGTTCATAAGGACAATTAAGTCTAAAGCAACGAAAGCAGAAAGTAGAACAAAGCAGCTTCTTGGGCAAAAGGATTAGTTCTCTGCATTCAAAGTCTTCGACTAACTGCTTAACGGAGACAAGATGCCAAATGAAAACAAGCTTTACTTTTACGAGATTTTTTACTGGCACTTTTAGCTCAACTTTTTATTTTTAAATGAGCCCGCCGACTTCGGGGACTGTGAGTCCGTTCAAAGGAGAATACTCAGATATTCAAAGGAGAAAAAGCCTCCATATGGGCAATTTGACATTGAAAAATGGCTCCGCTGTGAGAAACATTATGCGCTCCGTCAAGCTCGCCGAGCTTATGGATAACCACAATATACCCATTTAATTCAAAATGGAATGCATGGAGTTAGGCCTGTAAATGTATTATTGTCTTTTGTCGTGTCTATATACCATACTTGGAGGAAAAGACAAGTAAATGTAATAGCTAACCTTATATGATTCATGCTCAACAAACAGGCGAAACAGAAATGGGGCCTTAGGCCCCCCTCTAGGTTGGCACAGCCCCTCCCGCATCTTCGTATAAGGAAAAGCATCCATTTATTTAGTGGTGCTTTAATGGGCTCAAAGAAGACTACAATACGCAAAGCAGTTAATCTCGTTAGAAGTACGCACATACATAATGAAAATGAGCAGAATTTTCATTTAGTAATCAACTATATAATCTTATGACCCGTGGCTTTCTTTCGACAGAGCATTGTCCGACTTCAAACATCGACAGTGCTTAGCTACCCGGCCAACGTGCAGTCGTCATTGCTCTCCGTTAGCAGCTTTACGTTATAATCCGATACTGCTAGCAGAAGTAGTACATCTTTTATGGGCGCTTAGGGTGACTATTGATCAGGTTGCGGTAAACGCGAAAGAGAGATACGAGCATACGACAAAGTCTTAATTAACAACGACGCGAGATAGAAACTGATTTATAGACGTAGTAAATCGTTATCGAAAATGTACATTTAAAATTACGACACAGTTGTTCTAGTACAATCAGAAGTTACTAAAATATATATACGCAGTAATAACGAAAAGTAACGTACAATCAATATATTATATAGATAATTTTTTGATAAACGGTACAAACAACTTTTTGTATGAAATTTGAAAAATTAAACAAGAAGCAATTAGCGTTCTTCGAATGACGAAAAGTACAATCAGAGAAGACACGTGAAGACGCCGCCTTCGCTCATTTGTTCAATCAGTCAATTTTACATCCTTATAGATTATCCCTATTCTTTTAAGAATATTGCTCGAGCACATCTGTGTATAATAATTATAAAGACGTAAGTTACTGTACAGTAGGTCCGTATAAAATAACTGGTTACCGGTTAGCCATACGCTTTCTACGATATACATCCGCGTATAGAACTCGCTTTATCTCACCTTTGCGTTGGTCGTACTCCAAGGACTAAATGTTGTGTATATAATTTAAAAGTAATAATAACAGTAGTTTGGGCCTATGGCAAACTAATGTGAGTTTGGTACGGCCGCAATAGCCATAGAGTTTACGTTTTCGTCATACTACTAAGCAATTAGGACTTTGTTTCTGCTATTCGTTGCGTCTACTGACACTCTAAGTCGTAATTCATTCTTGTTGATGCAGTTCTACACCAGCCGACTGACTGATAAAGTCTATCGAGAACGACGCGCGTGACGACCCGGAGAACCATCGAAGATGCACAACCTGCTATTCAGGCAGGTAACTTGTATTTAGCATTATTGGAATACGAAGAGTGTAATATTTGCCTCTTCTGAAAAAAAGAGTAGGCAAATACGACGCCCAAGAACATCTAGTGCCTAACGCTACTAGGCAACTCTAGACTAAATGCACCTGGTGGGCAAGTTACGAATTGGAAGGAGAGTTCTACTCTAATGCTAATCAGCAGATGTTCTTTCAAGCCACATTAAATAATTGCATTTAGGACCTACTAAATGTAGGACCTAGATCATGCCAGAACCTCGCGTATTAGTAGAAGTTAAAAGAAAAAAAAAACACAACAGTCGCCTAGTTAACGGATTTCAAAGTAAAAATTGGAAAAAATAGACTTCTTTTTCAATACACCTTACATATTGCCACTCTGATTCTTGCTACACTTATTTAGCTTCTAGCCCATGTTTACAACATTAACTACCGTTTTCGAGAAACACTCGACAGTGAATCACACCGCTTAGTCGCTGTGGTCATAATCCAGAAAACGATGAAAAAATTTGAATATTTAATTGTACCTGGGGCTTCATGTGGATTAGAACCTTAGAAGAGAAGAAAACATCGTTCAAGAGGCCACTAAGCTTAGTGCTCGCTGCAGACGTGTGATAGTTTTGAAGTCTGACTGTTACTACCCAACAAATACGTCGAGGTTTAGGTCCCGCATAGCCATCTTTATTCCATTCTATTCTATTCTATTCTATTCTAAGCGTAATTTTTTCGTAAATTCAAGCATCAGACGCGTTGTGGCCAATGATCCGCTATTCGAGCCACTATTACGAAAACAACTTTCCTCTGTGCATCCATTATGATTGACACATCGGTTGCCTTTTTCTCATGTCTCTCGGCAACTCCATATCCTCAATGGCATTTCGAACTTTAGCACTTCAACAGATTTGTGACTTGCGCGTGAATAAAACACCGAGCCGAGTCCTGATACGACTTGGCGATCAAAGCATTTCGTTCAAAGTAAACTTTGCTTTTCTATCTCACACACCCGGACACATTTTCCTGAATGGTCCCGTGGGACAAACACTAAACTCACGGGCCCCTGACAGATGGTGTTGTGTAGGGTCCTGTGAGGCGAAGAGCGATCTCTCAGAAAGCCCATACAAAGCTAAGAAAATTTTGAAATCAAGTGTAATGTGTTGGCGGGGTATCATGTATATTTCTTCTGCCTCAGACTCCAGGGAGGAAGTTTTGTCGTTGTCGTCTTTCGTATTGTAGCTCTTCTGCCTTTCGCATAACGCCGCCGAAAAAAGCCGAGCCAACAACCTGTAGCATTTCTGACTTCACCATGCTTTTTACTTCCTTGGCCGTCGCCAACTGCAGATTTTTTACGATGCGCCAGATCTTGATGCATCACTGGAATCAGTATTGGTTCCTTTAGCGGTTGTCTGAGAAAGAAGTGCGTGATAACCGTCCTGATCGTATCTACTGGTACTCATTGGCTGCTACCACTCGATCTGTGGTAAAAATATATTCTGTCAATGCTGGAGTTGCTAAATAGCCGTTTTTGATGGAAACAAGGTTCAGCAACTTGGGAATCGATGGGGAACTTGCTTACTTTGACCATGAACCCGATGCTTTTCCCACTTGTCGTTTACAAGCCAAGCCAATCCAAAGTATAATCAAGACCATTATAACCGTTTTGAAGATTGTTCTACTTATTGCACAAATATAAAAATTTCAACTGTGATAGATAACATGAACAGATTATATCTTCGCCTCATTCTACTTTAGCAGCTAATTCCGATCTTCTTAACATCCAAAGGCGTCAACCTTAAAAAGAGAGGAAGTATAGTAAAAATCTTGTTAGATATGACAGATAGATAAAAGTGGGTAGAAAAAGATAACGTTTCGACCATTGGCCGAAAACCTGCAGAACGAAGATTTATAGTTATACTGTAGCATTAAGAAGAGTATTCCAATAATCCTGCGCATGAGACTCAAACTAAAAGAGAAACAAATGAATTGTTACCACGCCAACAGTTGCTATACGATGCACGCATAACTGTAGAAATAACGTTTCTCCGCACAGTTTCAGCCCTCAAACGCAAATGTTGGCTATTGCGCCTTGTCTTTTTGCACGCTTCGGTCTCCTATGAAGAATCAGTACAAAGGTATCAAGAAGGCGTAAGTAAAATCGACATACGAAATAAGTTTGATTAATGACTTAGGCAATTTTGGAACTTTTATATTCTTCACTTAAAAGCTATATACATATTCATACATACAGCAATCCTGGAATTAATTAACTCCGGTTATGTCAAACTACGGAATGGCTCTGCTTAGGTTGAAGCTCAGTTCTTTGCGATACACGAGTTGATTTTGATAAAAACACAGCGCGTTCCTTTAGTTAACTGGAAAATCATAGGTGTTAAATAATAATAGAATTCTAGGTAACGTTCTTTGGTGTTGTAGCTTTATCCGAATCGACCTTAGCAAAAAGCTGACTATGGAACTGAGTTAAATTGCATGTTTCCGTGCAACAACCTTCAAAGCAGTAAATTTTAACCTTGTCACCTGTGATACATCGGTCTAAGTTCGCGCAATAAATGCAGAAAACCGTTCACGTTCTTCTTCAAGCTCATTGATTGTATAGAAATTACATATAAAGTGCTAAAGTGACATAGCAAACGATTGTTTGAAACCCTCGATTGGTCAGCACAGTGTAGCTAAAGTCATATACATACTTCGTAGTTTAGAACTTGCATGAATCTAGCTGGCATATACAAATATCGAGCCGTCATTAAGTGAGTTATCACTAATAAAGCGATCTATGGGGTCATAAGCAGTTTCGGGTTGGCCATAAACAAGAATGTGACCCGCGTTCCTGACCATGACAGATGAAGCTTGTTTGGCTTAATTGGCATAAATTACGGGTTCAGCCATACGACAATTGCCGCAAACGATCCAGATCGTTTCAGTAGACTTTGACACCGTCATATTGGGCCGTTTCAATAGGCGACTTCGTTTAAGATTACCATAATGCAGATTACCACCATAAAACGGTACCAACAAGACGCCGAAATTCACTGTGAAACAAGAATTGTTCAATGGTACACGAATTGATCACTGGAGACATACTTTTTGGTCCTGCGGACAAAAGGCAGTGAGTGGCCGTACTGCGCTGAATCTTTTGTTAGAACTTCAAATAGAACATTAAAATGCTTTAAAAAAAATTACAACAAGTGAAATTAGTTTTATGTTAAATGCATAAAATTATAACTAAATGTCCAATGAAATATTTACGCATTTGTAAATTTAAGACCCGTAGTATCAACAATATACTACGTCTACGAGCTATGTGTTGAAACTACAGGATCTTTACAGGATTTATTGGACTGATCGACCTTATTTTACAATAGAAATTCCTGGAAAAGATAGGACGCATATGCCGATAGCTGTGGCACAATTACACTGTTAACAATATAATCTTGTACATTTAATTTTTTGCTAACTTCCGGATCTTCTTAAATGCGTGAACGTTTCCTTGAAGCTTTTCATTCTTATTTCGTTTTTTATTATCAAGTTATATAGGTCAGTTGCTTTCGTACGTCATTAATTTGAGCGCATGAGATCTCTCGCAAGAGATTTTGTCGCCGTCGTCTTCTCGTGTAGTACCACTGCTTTTCAGTGCATTGCCTCGTGCGACTGACTTGTCTCTACAAACTCCTTGCAGTAACTGGAACATCAATAAGGTTTCATTTATTCGCCTCCGCTGGTAGTACTTGAAGCTGTCATGTACACAGGTTACAACACAATATCCCGAAAACAGAGAGAGTACATAGAATTACCTTTTTAATTGAATCTCGTTTGCCTTATAAAACTGATTTAAGGGATTTGCCAAGCGTCGTGAAGATCGTTCTAGGGGGCAAAGAGCGACCTAATATCTATCATCATTTCCTCTGCACCTAGGCACATATATGTATCGTCAAGCTTGTGGAGACCTAATTTTTTTGTAAAGTCCATAGTAAAACTCAGGGACTGCAAAGCGAGTGACGACGAGCGATGTCTGTTTAGCCACTCGTCCCGTTTTACTCGTAGTTTTTTATCGCAAAGAAACCCCAGCAATCTCCACGAGTTGTTTTGGGAACATTTGCCGTTAGGAGCTCAAAGTGACGGCAAAGGGCCTTAGGCAGCAATGACAAATCAGGTACGCGAGGCGATTTCGATTCACTATGTGTTGTCCCAGTGCTTTTTTGAGGAAGATGGCTTGGACGCGATTTAATTGTTCGACGTTCTGCGCTCTAAGGTTTCCCTAAATGACGCGCACCCCATATGTTGGGATTTACTTTGAGGTTGATCAAAGGGAGAAAAGCTTCGACGGACAAGCGATGCGGCAATTTAACCGTCCATACCGCCGGCACAGCCTTCCTGTGTTTTTCGGTAACGTGCGCAATGACACTTCTGTCGTCCGCGGAGAATAACAACTTTAACCATGGAAGCGCAATTACGTAAGCAAGAGGCAGTCTGGTAACGTACAATGTGTAAATGTCTGAAATCTGTAGGCATCTCAGCTGAAAGGTAATTTTAGAAATAGCTCGATCCAGTAATTTATACAGAATATAAGAACGACCTTGTTTCCCCCAACCGGAGTCGCAACATCAGCTCATTCATGACGTCAAATGCTCGTACATCGTTGCTTCGCTTGATATTTTTTTATTGGCTTACTCCCGAGGAAAATACGCTGCTTGACTCGTGTCGAGAAGGCCTGTCTGCTTCAGTAGGTCGGCATAGCTGATTACAGAGGTTGAAAAAGCCAGCTCCGATGGCAGTTCCTTTCAGTTCCCCCCTTGAAGCGCTTTTGTTCTGATAAATTTAATGCGCGATCGAAGAAACACACATTTTCGAGTCGAGTGGTTTTTTAGGCAATGGCAAAACTTCAGCATCGTTAGCAATGAACATCTCAGAGGCACACTTTACCATATGACATGATGACTTCTTGTGCATGGGCACAGATCCCATCCAGAAACGATATTCGTATTTGGGGCGGCATATGAACCACCTCACTGTTTTGTCATTCTTCTATAAGCCCGTTGACGAACTGTAAGGTTCCTGCACCATGGATAAAAATCACAGCCCAGATTATTATTTTGCGTTTGCAAGGAACTTGTAAGATCATTCATCAGCGCGCTTGTAGACCGGTTGAATGTATTACTATCTAACATTTCGCAATGCGATTCATTTGAAGAATGAATCTTTCCCGAACCTTCAAGTGTTTAAATTTCGAAGTGTTTAGTTGATCTAAGAAGCGCACACTTCTGTACAGAATGTAGCCGAGATCTTCTAACTGGTTTACAACAGCAAAAACTATTCGTCCATACACAAATTTCGAAGACCCATGGACATAATGGCTTCGCACTTTGCCATCCTATGATGTAATTGCGGAAGCATTACAAATCGATCTTTTCGAGTAATTCTGCCTTTTCGCCGCATTGTTTTCGAGTTTTTTTTATTTATTTTATCCACGACCGAACACCTTATTATAAGTCATACTATGATATATTAAACAAATTATTCATCTGCAATATAAAAACAACATATTACCTTTATATTTACTTACTTGTAGTTCCATATATACATTTGCACATTATTCCACAAAAATGAACGTATTTATAGTAAAATATTTTCCGTAAACAATATACAATTGTGTCCTGATTTAATAGGTAAGAAATACATATGCACATTAACAAATAAGAAGCTTTAGTCATGGTTAGTAACATTTCAGAAACAAGATCAGCCTTCGAAGTGAGATAAACTCTAGTGGTTGGCATTTTTAGAGCGCCGGTTTTTCTGGTTATTACAGCAGCTGCTAAGGCGCACCCTGTCATTTTCAGGTTCGCAGGATTGTCCTGGTTTATATAACTTCGTTAGGCTCGGGGTCCAGGAAGAAGGCCAACTAAAGGATGATATCTTTGTTAAGTGCGCCAATCTTTAGTGGAACTAAACAATGATTCTCTTAAGATATAATCAGCGGCCCAATAACAGAGACGTAAGAAACTGATGTTGTTCGAACACTGCAGCGTCGCTCAAACTGTGTAGCAACGCAGTCGCAACGTCAATAACAAATTCTGCCTTAACCGTCACCAGTTTGCCAAACAATCACTATTTGTCTAACCCAAATTCAATGGCGAAAAACACCTGACGCAGACGCGAACGCAGAGCTAGGTCAAATGGTCAGCCATAAGGTTTTAAGGAACTGACCAAGGAGGAAGCAATTTTGTTTGTTAATGCTGGACGTACGGATATAAAGAACGCGGGTCAGCGCCAATTCTGGAATCGGAGTGGCGAGTTCGTTAAATAATATCATTCAATTCAACGCAAGCAAGGCTAAAATCACAAAACAATAACACTAACAGATAGGTGTTCATATTATTGATATTCATATTAGATATAGGTATGATCAATTTATCTAGATCTAGTCAAAGTCACTAGTACTTTTTACAAAATAGCTATATAAGTAGTAGGACACGAAAATATGAAAGTAGGTTGAGCAATGTGTGATTGGTATATATTGACATATGTTTTAGCTGGTTGCTCGTTTTAGTTGTCGCGTATTCCTCCGCTATTTAGAACACGTCCTTCTTCCTAGAAAAAAAAATACTACAGCCTTATTGGCCGTCATCGTAAAGCTTCGCTTTATGAATATGAACGAAGATCATTTATTATGCAATGTTTTTGCGCGGAAATTATGAACCTATATAATAAAGGGTACATGTTGCTGTCGGTTATCATGAAATTTGCGGAAAGGCTGATCATGATTAAAAGGAAAATCTCCCCTGATATTAGGATATGGAGACTGCAAGAATCGGAAATGTGTTAGAAAATGCAGCAAAAAGAGTCTCTGATAGTCTTATAATATCCAGGCAGATATTAAAGGCTAATCCCGAAACATCTTCTGGTGCTTACAAGGTTGTCCATAGGCTGCGGGGATTAGACAGCTTTTGGACATTTTTTAGACCTGTTGCCGTTTTGGGTCTTTGTACTTCTAGTTTATTATCAGTCTAAATTTTAAGCCCTCGGATTTCTGACATACAATATGTATGGATACATATACCTATCTTTAAACGTTTTAATATAGTGTCACTCATGGTTA